ACTCATGTTGTTTATGTTTGTTTTTATATGTCAGACTGTCCAGGGGTAATTCTTCTTCTCTGTTGGCAGAACCGAACAGGAGTCAGTTCGTTCTATTGCCAACAACAACAATATCTCTTGCAACCGCCTATGACTTGTCTGACTTTTGTTTTGGGTTAAGGTGGTGTTTTCTGGTAGCAACAACATGCCTAGTTTTAGTTGTAAATTTCTGATCCGCTGACTCTTCAATTTATCTCTCTCTTCCTCTCTCTATCTCTCTCTGTGTGTGTTCCTCTCCTCATGTAGAGTTGTGTTATTATTGTCAACAAGTAAGTTACTTGTTGTTATTATTGTTAAACGATGTTTGTTTTGGGTGATTTTCTATAAATGGGAAATGTGCGGTATGATCAGGTGTTTGATTAGTAAAAGCAGACTTCCATAGACAAAAGAACCCAACGAGGCCAGTTATGGAATCTTCTATAAGGAAACGACCCTTCGTTAAGGACATTAAAAAAAGGAAGACATTTCAAAGGTCTTACGAAAAAAATAGATCATTCAAAATCCTGTTATAAACAGAAAAGCTTTCAAAGGTCTTCCATGAAGATATAATGTTTCCAAGGTGTTAAAAGTTATTAAGAGAATACTTTTCAAAGTCTTTCATAGAGAAAAATTCTCATAAAGTGTCCTACAGACTAATGACATTTTACAGGTAGAAGGCTCCTTGGAAGTCTTTTAAAGACAGAAGACCTTTCAAAAAACTTGGCCACAGTGAGAACCTTTAAACCCCATTTTTACCTTATCCTAAATGCAAAAAGCATTTCTAGGTACTATATGGGCAGAAAATCGTTCAAATTTACTTTTTGGAAAAAATACATTTTTTTCATAAATAGACAGGCAGAAAGACTTCAGAAGGGTTTCTATGAAGAGTAGACTGTTCATATAACTTCTTTTTGATATTTCAATGATAAAAAAACGATATTTCAATGTTCTTCTATAGACGGTATGCTTTTTAAAGGACTTCTTTGGAAAGTGACATTCACGACCTTATAGATGGCTCATTTAGAAATAAGGTCTTTCAAGGTTTTGGCTGTAGTTCGAAAACTTTTTAAGATCTTCTGTGGGGAGAAGATAAGAAGACTGGCCTTCACTTCTTAAAAGTCGTTTATATAACGATCTTCTATTGACATAAGTTTTGTCATAGTAGTAACATAAAACTTTTGAAAGATCCCGAAAGCCTTCTATTGGCACGACAACTTTAAAAGGGATTTATTTCAAGAGAGGGACTTCCAGATGCCTTTTAATTGTATTTCATTGACAGAAAACATTGTATTCTTGGGAGAAAAGCCTTTTTTTTCAAGAATGAGATCTGGTCAAATTTTACTGAAATCAAACACTTATTGCCACTTAGGACCATTTAAATGTGTCATATATAGAGAATATCCTTTGCTATATAAGCTTCTATCTATAAAATAGATAGAAGACCCTTCTTTGTAGAAGATTTTATTGAGAGAAACCCGTTTAAAGAGAGAATACCCTTTTAAGAGAAAGCTCTTTTAAGGTCTTCTGTAGAGAGAGGTCTAACGGTCCTCTGGAAAGAGAGGAGATTATTTAAAACTCTCCAACAGATAGAAACCCCTTAAAGGCCGTCTACAGAGTGAAGACACTAAAAAACCTCCTATAGATAGAATTGGGGTCTTATAGAGAGAAGACCGTTTAACGATCTCCTATAGAGAGAAGACCCTCTAAAGGTCTCCCATAGAGGGAAGACCCTTTAATGAGCTCTAATAGAAAGAAGATCTTTTTCGAGGCTTTTGAAAAAACATAACATAACATATATAAAATACCTTATATAGAAGAGATTTTTTAAAGTCTTCTACAAACAGGTCTTTTATAGGGAGAAGAGTTTTAACATGCCTTTTGCAGAATATTCCTGCAGACAGCCATATTTGATAGGTATTCTATGGGAAAAGGACCTTTACACAGAGGAGAAGACAATTTTTTTATGGGTCAAGGAGCTTTCGAAAAAGCCTTCTACTAACGGAATCTTTTTTTAAGAGTTTCCATAAAAAAATATTTAAAATATGAAGCCTTTTCAGAGGGTCGTTTGCGATCTGAAGACCTTAAAATGGGGTTTTTAGGAAGACGGCATTTAAGAACAAGTTCTATGGGCAATAATTTGAAAAGACGTTAAGTTCAACCGGACCGACATTTTTGCTTTCTTTACCATGTGAAAACTTGATTTATGGTAAACTCGGCTTTCCCAAAAATGTGAAAGTTCGGTTATAAAGATATTGGATATTTTTGAGAAGACTTTAATTACTCACTGAGAATCCGAAATGTCAAATTACAGCTAATTTTATTTGAAATTGACGCAAGAATGTCCAAGATACCGAGAAAAATGAGGTTTTGTGGGTGATACACAAAAAAATGGACCATAGACAAATGAAAATATATACAACGAAATGCTCTCACCGTTTATCTTCGAAATAAATTGGATCAGCAGATGTCGTCTATACCGTTTCAGGGGTTTGAGTGGGAATATTGAAGTCACTCAATTCTAAAACGTTAAAAATAACAAAAACTGTAGGATATTTCTCAGTTGAAAATTGTTCCAAAATAAAAGAAATGTAAAAAGTACGTGATGACAGATTCCGGAATAATCAAGTGAAATTCTTGAAAAACGATTAAATGTGTTTTCGAAGTCTAGTGGGTTGAACGCGTAAATCAGCATGTTGACTATGCAAAACATGATGAGAGCCACCTGGATAAAAAGACAAAACTAACTTTTCGTTGTCTATATCTTCTTTTGTCTATGAATGGACCTGTGTCAAATATTTTTTGCGAGAAGTGAAATTTCCACTGAGAGCCGCATATGCCAAACTTCAGATGATTTGATTGGAGCAAAACTATCCAATAGACCAAGATCAGAGATAATGGAAAAATTGTTAGAGGATTTCAATTAGCCAGGGATTTTTCGAAATGACTTGAAATTGGGGCAGCAACTTTAAAAATGCCTCAAAGCAGGGGTTATACCAAAAAGTGGACCTCGATTGAATAATGTTTGCGCGGAGTTTAACTACGCCGAAATTCAAAAATTACAACTGATTTGCGTATAAATTATGGCGGAAATATCCAAAGAAACGAAAATCAGGAGGTAAAGTTATATAGGGTATAGTTTTTTGAAAATTCAAACTCATGATCATCATCACACCCCTGACTATTTCTGTAGATCCACATAGTTTACCAAATTATCGATTTTTTACATTCCAATGGGGTCTACAGTTATATAGGGTCTTTCCAAAACCTGAATATATATATATTGCGATATTTTTGTGGGTGATCTATTAAGATTTGAAATTAAAGATCATTCGACTAGAAAATTAAGCATGGGCTTTTAAAATGCCTCACATCGGTCAGTATCGCTATTTGAAGCCTATGGCAAAACAAGGACATATAGTTGAAATTGCTCAGCGTTTTATTCAACAAGGATCCGAAATGCAAAATGACATATTCGATTTATAATTGTGGCTGAAAACAATACTCTGATTTACTCGCGAATAATACTCTCAAGTGATAGTACTCAAAGAGTACAAGTGTTCCAAGAAGTTCACTCTCTTGTTTTATGTGGTGTACACGCAAGTGCTCCTTTTTTATACCCTCCACCATAGTATGGAGGATATATTAAATTTGTCATTCCATTTGTAACACCTCGAAACATAAATATTAAATACAATTCTATGTCGATTTAACGATGTCCGTCCGCCTATCCGTCGGTTAAAATCACTCTTGTTCCGAACGAAATGAAATAAGTTGATAAAATTTTACTCAAATGTATATTATGTCTGCAGGTCTTTTGGTATTGAAAATGGACCATGTAGGTCCACGTGTTGCCCCCATGTAATGGTACCTCCCGATATTCGGTACTTTGTTGATTCGTGCGACATTATTCACCGGAATTATTTCCAATTTGGTATTTGAAGTTTGTAATGGATACTGCAGCCTATGACAGAAGATTGTATGTACAGGTCTACGTTTTCTTATAGCGACCATATAACGATACCTCTCCATATTCGGTATTTTGATGATTTTAGCGACATTATTTAGAAGAATCGTTTCAAATTTGCTATTTTGAGTTCGTAATGGATACTACTGCCTAAGACAGAAAATTGTCTGTGCAGGTCCACGTTTTGGTATAGCTCCATATAACAGTACCTCCCTATATTCGGTATTTTGATGATGCAGATCCACGTAGTCGTATAGACCCTAATACAACGGCTTCATTCGGTATTTTTAAGATTTTAACAGAATTTTTAACGGATTTTATTTCTTTGAAAATTGCCAAATTCGTTTCAAGTGGTGGAGAGTATTCAAAATTCGGCCCGCCCGAACTTATAGTTTTTTTACTTGTTAGAGTGAGAATCGAAATATTAAAAATAGAGTAAGAGTTTAAACTAAGTGTTGAATGGAGGGTGAAATTAAAAAAAAAATGTCTTTAAGAAGTATTTTCAATTTAATCGGTCGTTAAATGGAATATTAAAAATACTAAAAATCAGGGCCATTTAGAAGTAAATCCATAACCTTGCAAAGTTTCAAAACTTTATGGTGATTTCAATGGATTATGTTGTCAACGAGACAGAATTTTATACTGGTCAAGAAGATACCTATATACTCTATGGGATATGCAAGGAATATTTCAGGTGTTTCAAACGTAATGGATAAATAATATACCCCATATTTTATGCGGAAGGGTATTAAGGGTACGTTAGTGTTGTTGTCTTTTTTTCTCTGTAATAACTGTATTTTTCTCCAATGTACGTTTGTATGTTACGCATCACTTTCAACTTAATGTCTTTTTAATATTTCGCTGTTTGTTTTTTTTCACCACCAGACATTAACAAGTCCCAACGGTTCAGTCGGTTATGGCTCAGCAACCTCGAGTAGTGGAATTCATTCATTCATTTATTTATTCTTTTTGTTGTTACTTGTAATTTATGTTGTTGTTGTGACTGTTGTTGTTTTATTTGATTGTTTAAACTTAACATGACTTTCGTTGACTTTCTGTCACCGGCTGTTCGTTTGTTTGTTTTGTTTTGTTTACTTTTTCCCATTGTTATATTTGACATTGTAATGGCCTCTCTGAGTCTCCTTCTCGCTCTCTCGCTCGTGCTTCAGTTCTGGCTCTGTGCGCTTCAGTTCAGTTCAGCTGAAGATCAACTTTATTCCATTTGGGGTTCACACAGCACAGCTACTTGGTAATTATTTATCAACGCCATTTGTAGCTCTAAATAGAAAAAAAATGGAAATTTAAATGACAAACCGAAAGAAGCGAAGTAACTGAAGTTATAGTGGCTTTTTGTGGCAGTTGAAGTGACAGTCGTCGAGTAAACGATGTCAGTGAGCATTTGTTTTTTTATTTTCTACGAAGAAGAGGGTGCTGCAATTAATTATATAGACAACCTGCACAAGTGTATATTTAAATAGTTCGTAATATATAGGCAATATATTTCTTTTGGGTATTATTAAAATAATGGGCTTCTAAAATCAATTGGTGCAACAAATTACAAGTTGTTCTTGTTTTTGCAACAAATAAACATTTCAATTCAAATTTGAAAATGAATGCTTTCCTTGGAAACATGTTGCATTTTCTCAACAAAAAATAATGAATGCTCACAATGAAATAATAATTACAGATTGCACTCAAATTGGCGACTACTAGAACAGATGTCATTTCTCAATTTCAGTTTTCCTGCAAACGATTTAAAAAAGTTAAAAAGTTGGTCGGGGCCGACTATATGACACCCTACACCACTATACATATTTAGTAGAGCTCCCATAACAAAATAATTTATTTGAAATAGATCATCCCATCAACCTTTGGCTTTAGAGCAGTTACAATTCGGTTCCAGAAGGAACGAATATATGGGAGGCATAACCAATTCTGAATCGATTTTCACTAAATTCGACGGAGAAATTTTAATTTTTTATGCCAAATAACATTGCATGATATCACTTCGAGAAGGATTATATTAAAAAATGTGTAACGGAACCGAGTTCCACAACATGGAAACATACGTCCCGAAATTTACTTCATTTGCACTGATATTAGCCAAATAATGGCACAATAAACCTGAAATCGGATTAAGCATATATGTGCGAGCTAAATCCAAATCTTAGCCGTTCTCTTAGCAAATGTATTATTTCCGAGCTTTATAAGAAATCTGGTACCAAAGCGCATTACGAATGTGGGGGACTTAAACAAAAAATCGGATATATGGGAGCTATAGGTATATCTGAACCGATTTTCTCCGAATTCGATGTACTTCCGTCTAGACTGAATTCCGTCGGATGTAACAAAATTCAGAACTTTTGGACTGATATTGGCCATAGGGTGGACAATTATCCCGAAATCGGTTGAAGATATATTTGGGAGCTATAACCAAATCTGAACCGATTTTGATAAGATTCGGCAGAGATATTTTTGAGCTGTATCTGATATCTGGCACCAAATACCATTGTTGTGAAGTGCTTATTACGCATCTGAGGGACTTAAACACAAAATCGGATGAAATTATATATATATATATATATATATATGGATCATATATCTGAACTGATTTTCACCAAATTTTATCTACTTGCTTTTAGACTATACTCGAATGGATGTGCCAAATTCGAGTCATTTGGACTTACAGGGTGAGATGAAAAAACTTCAACTAAATTCAGACTGCTGTCATTTCCAAGCCACTCGTCTGACAGCTGTTAAAATTATTCCAGTGACAGTTCATTACATTGTTTTCAAGCGTACAAATGCATTTTGTTGAGAATTTTCCAGAAAAGAAGTTATTCGTGATGGAATTCAAGCGTGATAGTGTGATTTATTTATATTTGGCTGGAAAGCTACAAGTGGCTATCGTTAGAGCACTCCAGCATTTTTATGTGAATAAATCCTTTATGTGTCGTACCATCGCTCGTTACCGTGATACTGGTAGCGTAGCCCGACGTCACGGAAGTGGACGGAAGAAAACAGCAACATCAGCAGAAATGGTTCGAAAAGTAAAGAAGCGACTTGTTCGAAACCCGCGCCGCAGTGGCCGAAAAATAGCTCGTGAGCTGAACATAAAGCAATATTTGTTCCGGCAAATATTGAATAATGAGCTCGGGGTAAAGCCATTGAAATGCCAAAAAGTGCAAGTACTTACACCGAGTTTACTTAAAGAGTTGCTTCGCTTGGCCAAAAGTGGTGAACTGCCGAATTTGGATTTCTTCGATGCGAAAACATTCGTTTTCCAGCAGTTTGTAAACAAACAAAAATGATGGTGTTTACTTGCAAAAGAGGTCAGCTGTAAATGTGTACCTTCAGTTAGCCACCAGAACTCAAGCGCCGGCTATGGTGATGGTGTGGGCCGCCATAATAGGCGATGATCGCTCTCCGCTCGTATTAATCGACCGTAGCATCAGAATAAATGCCGCATATTATCGCGAGAATATTCTAGAGGGTGTATTAAAGCCTTGGGCACGCAAACATTTTGGCCGCAGACCTTGGACATTCCAACACGACTCAGCACCATCGCACTCAGCACACGCCACTCAAGAATGGTTACAAAATCAGATTCCTCGCTTCATTTCCAACGCACAATGGCCACCAAAATCTCCGGATACCAATCCGTTGAACTATTGTGTCTGGAGTATTTTAGAAAGAAAGGTTGGCACTAAAAAATACCAAAGTGTCGATCACCTCAAGCAAGCGCTCCGCCGGAAATGAGCCAAAATATCGCATGGCAACATTCCGGCAACGTGTTTCATTGTCCGTGTGAAGGCCATAATTTTTGTCAAAGGTGACCAATTCCGAGAAATCTAAAATTATTCTAAAATTTGATGCTATTTCCGACATTTTTTGCTTTATTTCAATATAATTAAAAAAAATTAAAGATTATGGCGTTTGACTTTGTTACAGTTTTTTTTATCTCACCCTGTATGTTGCATCCGATTTGGGGTCAAAGTTCCTCACATTCGAAATATGCATTCGAAAACAATGATATTTGGTACCAGATATCTTATAGAGCTCAGAAATACCTTTGCCAAATTTTATCGAGAACGGTTAAGATTTGGACAGAACTCCCATATATATCCTTATATACAGTATCTCAAAAGGTACCGTAATATGGGGGCTAAAAAAATTTTTAGACGTATACTAAAGTCATTCTGGACATGGATAATTGAATTACAGCTCCGGGCACAGCATTCATAATCGTTGATAGCACCTGTGACTGCATCCGTATAAATTTTACTCAGACCTGTTTGATACGCTTCTTGATCTAGAGGCTCTCCTTTTCCCCTTTATACAACATATACGCCATAGTATGGATGAGTCCCTCGTGTTTACATGTTCATCGATGTACCATTATATAGGAGCTATTCTAAAAAAACTGAATAGAACTGAAAAATCTGCCAAATACAAATCTTCTGAGAATTCAGATGAAAAATATGTTCAAAATCATTTTGATAGCAAGTATAGAGGAAGAGGAGGGGGTGGGTACCGTATTGTAGTGTTTACTTTACTTGGATAGAGGAAGGTGGGACCTGTTTCGAACTCCAAACAAAAATGTTGAGAGAATTCCGTTAAATAATGTACTTCAAATCGTCCAAATTTCGTCAGACAAATATACCACCTTAGCGAACTTCAAATAGCTCCTTTCAAAAATTTTGTCGATAATATATCTTAAAAAATCATCAAAATACTGAATGTTGATAGTAACGGGGTATATCGTAGCTGTAACAAATTGTGGACCTGGATAGACAATTATTACACTTAGGTTGTGTCTACTTCGTACTCTAAATAACAAATTTCCGTTAAATTATGTATCGAAAATCTTCCAAATACCGAATATGGGGTGGTACCGTAATATGAGTGCCATATTAAAATTTGGACCGGGATGGCCTATTTATTTGCCTCAGAAGATGGGTTCTTCAAATGCCACCTTTGCAGAATTTTTGTATCAAAACCAGTAGAGAAAGTCTTAAAGTCGGGCGGGGCCGACTTCGCCACTTTACTAATTTAGTAGAGCTCCGCATAACAATTAAAAGTTTTTATGGGAGAATTCAATCATACACGCTATGATTACAATTATAAGTTAAAGTTCAAAGGACTAAATCTGTAGAAGCATTTGTATCTTTTAAATTCGGACTTGTATTGCCCGTTTGGTGCACAACTAATTTGAAATCTGATGAAGATATATATGGGAGCTATATCCAAATCTGAACCGTTCTCGATAAAATTTGGCAAAGATGATATATTTCCCTGAACATCGTTGTTACGGAGTGCATATTACGGCTGGGGGTAATAAATACAACAAATCGGATGAACAATATATATGGGAGCTAAAGCTATATCTGAACCGATCTTCACCAAATTTGGCATACTTTTGGCATACGTTTGGTGCACAATAAAAGGTAAATCTGACGAAGTTATATATGGGAGCTATATCGAAATCTGAACCGATCTCGATAAAATTTAACAAAGGTATTTCTGAGCTGCATTTGATATAAATATTAAATATTGTTGTTACAGAGTGTATATTACGGCTGCGGAGGACAAAAATAACAAATCGGGTGGACAATACATGTGGGAGCTATAGCTATATCTGAACCGATTTCGATCAAATTTGGCATACTTATTTTCAGGCCTAATTTGGTTGTATATGCAAAATTCCATACTATTAGGGATGATATTACACGTTTGGTGCACAATAAAAGGCAAATCGGACGAAGATATATACGGGAGCTATATCTAAATTTTTACCGATTATCTCTAATTTCAATAGGGTTCGTCCTTGGGCCAAACAAATGTTGTTTGCAAAATTTCATCTCAATCGGATAATAAATGCGACCTGCATTTTGTTCACAAGAATACATGGACAGACGGACTGACATGCATAAATCAACTCAGAAAGTGATTCTATGGAGATCATCAAAAGGAACTATGGATCTATCTCGTTTCCTTCTCCTTGTTACAAATAAATGCACAAAGACATAATACCCTGATCACCTTATGGTGTAGGGTATAAAAATGTACATTCGTTCTGCATCATAATTCATAAAAAATTGCCCAGAAATTGTTTCGATTTCATTTACCTGAACTCAACCGCAAAACACAGTTTTTCTCACTTAACTGTCAATTGCCTGAACTCGTCATCTGTTTGATAGTCACTTACAGATTTTTTGCTGCCTCCATTTTTTCGAATATCTTCTCGATAAACTATTAATTTTTGTTGGTTGATTTTT